AGCAACTCTTGCAAAGTTGCACCGGTCGACGCAGTCACCGAGCCGAGCAACATGTCCTGCCGCATCTGCTGCATGTGCGTGTTCGCTACTTGCTGCGAATTGCTGTCGCTGGGCGGGTGCTCAAAAGATCCGAGGGAAGCCCAGCTCAATGGAAGCGGCTGCATGGGTTGCATGGGCCGCCTGCGTTCGCGCATGGCGTTGACCTTCGCATGGTGTGGCCGAACTTCAACTGGCATATGAAGGATGCAGCGAAGGGGATGTCTGCCGAAGGGTTAGAGCTGGTGTCGGGCTCATGGCTACCACAGGGATCCCGCGCACGCTTGGCAAGCATCGCTTTCGGCAACATCCTTGCTCTCTGAGGGGCCCCAGCAAACAGAGCTGTTGCGCAATGTCCTTGGTCTCTGAGAGGTGCCAGCAAACCAGGAAGGGCTGTTATACCCTACAACCCCTTAACAAGGCCCTTTATAGGGTTGACTATGGGGATTCTTGGGCTTAATAGCCCATCCTGGAAGAGCGGAAGCAAGGAAATCAAGAAGCCCCGGCCAGCAGGTGGCTGAGTAGAGTGGCAGCCTTGGCAGCCTGCCAGCTTGGGCTGCTAGGCCTTAAAATCCCCCTAACCAACCCTATAAATAGGGCCTTCTTAAGGGGGTTATATGGGGTCTAGTGGCCCCATGTAGGTGGGCACAGGCACCTAGCTTCAGATGCTCAGAGGCTGTGCTGCACTTGGGGGCATCATCCTCAGGAAGAATCATCTTGCAGGTCTTGTGCTCTTAAAGCCCTCTGTGCGCACACAGGCCTTCAAGCTGTCCCTAGCCGAAGCCTAACACCTCCACCTCAAAGCCACAAATGGCCCAGGCCACCAGGAAATTGGCAGGGCCGTTGGAATCTTCCAGCGCTCGGACACGAGGGATCATGAGGTATCACTGATGGACACGGGCATCCCTCGAGCTGGCAAATGTTTGAGTGCTTGGTTGTCTGCCGCGGGCCATGACGTGCCACTGGCGGGATTCCTCAGGGTGCCTGCCTTGCGAGCACGGCACGTCATCCGAGGCTTGAGGCCTTTGAAGCATCAATCATAAAGAGGGATGCTTAAGCCCTTAGTCTTAGGGGAATATAGGGCCCTTGCACTCCTTCCTTCCACCCCTTGGGGTGCCTTATCAAGCTGAGGGCAGAGTCGGAGCGAAAGCCCCGACTTCCAGGTGTCTTGCGGTGGCCTCGAGCTATCACAGAACTTGAAGCCCAACACCTGAGCCAGACAGCCCAATGGGTTTAGGGTTTAGGGTTTATAGGGTTTATAGGGGTTTAGCCTGCACATGTCCCTGCCTTTAGCCCTCGGCCTCCCAGAACACGCTCTGAGTTCTTCGCGTGTACAACACAAGAAGAGAGCGTGCTTCGACCAGTTGCAGCTGAAGTGGCGCGGCCCTTGGTGAACGCGGATGTCCGGCCCTATTTCTGCCAGGCTCCTCACCGTACGCCTGCAATAGCTACCTGGGCAGGAAAAGACTAGTCTTTATCTCTACTCCCCTTAGCACCCTAAGCAAAGCATTATGTTTAATTCTACATCCCCTTATACGTGTTATCCGAACAACACCCAGCAATTGAGTGAGTTGTGGGTAGGGGGGGGGGGGTGCAGGTGAACAAAGGCCTATCGTTCCATTCTACGATCCCAGGTCAATGCCAAACGTACTATGTGCCAGATACAGATGCTTTCCAAAATAGGGATACCCTTTTGTTGGGGCTCCTACAATAAGGGTGATTCTTCTGGGCCGCGGGAAACAAGATGGTAGGTTACCCGAAGCCGAACCCTACCCTAAACCTAAACCCTAAACCCTAAACCCTAACACCCTAAAACCCTAAAACCCTAAACCCTAAAACCCTAAACCCTAAACCCTAAACCCTAAACCCTAAACCCCAAACCCTATCCTGATGCCCTGGGCTGACCTTCAGCCACAGCAAGAGCGCCATGGAAGCCAGGGGCGGGCCGATGAAAATGGCAGCCTCAGTGCAGGACTTTCTGCTTGACGCCAGGATGGGCTATATTCACCCTAAACCCGAAACCCTAAACCCTAAACCCTAAACCCTAAACCCTAAACCCTAAACCCTAAACCCTAAACCCTCTTAAAGGGCCCTTTTCAGGGATAAGGTACATGAGACCATGCTGACTGATAGGTTGGGGGAAGCTCCGGCTCTTTTGGTTCGCTGTGGGTTGCAGACTTGTGGTTTGAGCCGCAAGTTAGAATCCACAGGTTTGTACCATAAAACAATCTTTACTCTTGGCGCCCCCCAGAACGAACACCCAACACATATTATTCCAAAAACACTAAACCCTAAACCCTAAACCCTAAACCCTAAACCCTAAACCCTAAACCTAGACTCTGAACTCCCCCATATTCACAAGGAGCCCTACTCCAACAAGACAGATCCTGCGGCCCATGGTGAACCCTCAGAGCCGTTGAGTTGGGAGTCAAGGCACCACTTAGAGCTATGGTGAAACACTGCTTGTCAGACTTATGAATATGTTTATAGCTTATGTGTGTGTTTGTATGTGCATATATATATATATATGCATGTACATGTATATGCATGTATGTATATATATATATATACATATGTGTATATGTGTATGTGAGATAGCCTATGGTATATGATTATATGATGTGAAGAGCAACATGTATACTGAACATTTTATCATCTACAACATATATATATATATACATAGGTATACTGTGCGTGGTACATCTTCGGAGCCAGAACTCGAAGCTGCCAGTGCAGTACCGGGCGCTTTAGTGCCAGGCGCGCCGCGCGAGCTCAGCGACGCTTGTTCAGACACCTCGCCGCCAGAATCGAAGCCGAACTGCCAAATATGATTCAATTCCTACCGGGAAGGCAAACCCTAAACCCGAAACCCCCCCCCTAAATCCTACACCCTGAAGTCCAAGGGGGTGGGTTGCGCGACCTTCGCCGCAAAGCCGGTCGACGATCTGTCTTAGGCCATGGGCCTTGTCCCCATAATCAACCCTAATAAGGGATTGCAAGGTATAATGGCCCATCCTGGAAGTATGCCGACATCACAACTGCATCCTTCTGACTGCAAGTTTGGCAAGTTCTGGCTTGAAGTGTGCCAGGCCAGAATGAATGGCCTGTTTTGGGGGGGTTCAGACCGTAACTTTTCAGCTCTTGGACTGAACCTCAAGCTCGAAAAGAAAGAAGCTCGATGTTGCTGAGTCCGCTTGAAGCCGAGGCCCTGGCCCTTATAAGCGCAGCCCGGGCAAAGGCAAACCGAGGCGTGGCGGATCGCAGCGGTGTAGCGCGCGCATGGATGGCTTCCGGCGCAAGTGCCTTCGACCTGGCCCAGATTGGGGGGGTCAGGCTTCGGATTTGCCACCACCGGCTCTGAAAACGGATTCGGAGGGGTCTTGGAGAAGCACGCTTCCAGGTGGCCAACAGGTTCCAGCCGAGTTGCCCCCCTACTTTAAGGCCTTAGCTCTTGGAAGACCAGAGTCTTGGCAAGATGATATATGCGATGTTCGTATGGGCCCCAAGACTTATGTCCATGGTCCTGCTTCTCTGGGATGGCATTAGAAACCCTCTGAAAATATTCCAAAGATGATCCATTTAAACCCAAGACAAGGGGAAAACCAAAAAAATAACCAAGGGCCAACCGAGTCGTAACAGGAAGAGAAGTGGAGGCTTCCGAAAATTGAGGGGAAATCCGTCATAAGGACTGTGCAGGTGTGGGCGTATATAAAGAGGTCCCCCCCCCCCCCGTAACTTCGGGAAACCCCCTCAGGTCTCTGAGGCTCCTGCCCACCAGTGAGTCTGGCGGCCGAGAGAAAAACGATGTCCAGGCTCTCTGTGAACCTCTAGCTTCTAGGATGCTGAATTACTCTGTTGGTTAGTAGGGACTGGGGGAATGAGGTACCTGGTATAATCCCTTGCTCATTCATTGCTAACCAGCAGTTAGCTCAAGGGAGGGGGGGCGTCAAGGGGGGTATGCAACCCAAGGTTCCCTAACACTCCCCACCTACTCCCTATGGCTGCCTAAGCCGCCTAAGGTCCCTAGGTACACACTCCCCCTTGACCCCGCTCCCTTCAGAACCCTGCGTATAATGCAGCTCTTAACCTTGTACCCTGAAGCCTTGTAAACCTTGGGGCCTATAAAGCCGGGGGGTCCCAAAAGGGTGTGACCAAGAGCTCGCGAACGGTTCAAGGGGTGGCGCTCCTTCAGGACCTTGCGGTGTCAAAACCTAAATAATGGGTCTGCGAAACTGATACTCACAGCCAGCCTCGTATGCCAGAAGCATCCCTAAACCCTAAACCCTAAACCCTAACTGCATTCAGTCCGAGGGGCAAGTGAAGAGGCTCAGTGCTTCTCAGGACCCTGCCACACTCAATGCCTGGCTGCGCAGCCAGGGCGAAAGTTGTGTTCCGATCTTAATGAGCCAACAAGGCAACTACTGCCCTGAACTACTTGGAGGTTCACGGTACTTAGTAACCCACTTTTCACTGTACTTATAACCCAATTGAGACCCTATTAGGGTACTTGAGGGGCTTATAACGACACTTATAATTCGGTTATAAGTACCCTGAACCTCCAAGTGCACAGGTGGGAAGCAGCTCTTTCTGCTAAGGCTCTCCGCTGTTGGAATGTTATGTCCTAGACAAACTGGGAACCACGTTGAAAACGAGCGGTCGATGGTGCCCATGCGCTGCATGTTTGGATCAGCTCAGATATGGCGTATGTGTATAGGTGTGTAGGACAATCCTGAACGACGCGGACTACAAACGGGTGCATGTGGGTGTGCATGTGTGCATACATACTACATCCTGGGTCGCCTACTGAAACGGCAGGGCCTGACAGACCGCAACACAAATTACTACGACACCGAAACTTACTAAACATGCTGTCAAAGCATCTTCCACGATGTGCTGTACAAGGTGCCAGATCCGTATTGTTGGGTCTGGCACCTCCATGGGATACTCCAGCTCTCAAAAACAGATTAGCTGCCTGACACATGCCCAGCAGACTCAGCATTCAGTCTCCTGATCCGCGCGATGAGCTCATAAATTTCTGGGTCGCGCTGGCCAGGCTGGTCCTCGAGGAGATCCGTCAGCTCCGACATCTTGCCTCGTTCCAACAGGAACCTGGTCAAATTTGTGACCGAGCTGACCGTGTCAGGATGTTGGGCACCAAGGGTCGCACGGCATTTTGCGAGCTCTTCACGGAAGAGTTGCTCGGCCTCGTCAAATTGCCCTGTCTCTTCCAAGTGCTGGGCCAAGCCGTATATTCTGGCCAAGGTTTTTGGATGCAACTCACCCAGATGGACACGACAGCCTTCCAGGACATCCCGGAGGAGGGGTTCCGCCTCTTGCAGCCGTCTTTGGGCCCTCAGCAGTCCGGCCAAGTTGCCGATGGCTATCAGCGTGTGGGGGTGATGCTCCCCCAACATGGCGCGGTTGCCTTCCAGTGCCTCACGAAACAAGGCCTCTGCCTCTTGATAGCACCCTTGTCTTTGGAGCAGCCCTGCAAGGGTGTTGACGTCGATCAGCGTATCAGGGTGATGCTTCCCTAGAGCAGCCCGCCTGCCTTCAAGGGCCTCGCGAAGCAAGGGCTCTGCCTCGTGCAAGCGCCCTTGGGCCTGCAGCAGCCAGGCCAAATTGTCGACACGAGCCAGTGTCTGCAGGTGGTGCTTCCCCAGGGGCGCAAGAAGGGCTCTGCTTCCTTCAGGCGCATCTGATCCTTCAGCAGCAGCGCCAAGTTCTCCGCGCTCGTCAGCGTCTCCGAGTGTTCCTCTCCCAGGATGCTGCGGTTGCCTTCGAAGGTCTCACGGAACAGCGGCTCAGCCTCGTCCAAGCGCCCTTGCTTCTTCAGGAACTTCGCCAAGTGATCGAGGCTGCTGAGCGTGTCCCGGTGCTGCCCCAGAACGGCCCGCCTGCCGTCCAGGGCCTCGCGCAAAAGGGGCTCGGCCTCTTCCAAGCGCCCTTGCTGTTCGAGCATCCTTGCAAAGTTGTAAGTACCTTGGGGACCAAATGAACCCTAAAAGGGTTTAGGGTTCATATACCTTAATCAATAGGAGTTATAGTAGTATAGGGTATCTATGGTTCTCAATTTTAGGGCTCATTTCGTCCCCAAGGTACTGGTGAGGGTCTCAGGATTTTGCTCCCCCAGAATGCTGCGCCTGCCCTCCATGGCCTGGCGTAGGAAGGGCTCCGCCTCCTCCAAGCGCTCCTGATTTGCCAACAGCACCCCCAGGTTGGCTTGGGTCTCGAGCACGTTGGGGTCTTGCTCCTTGAAGACGACATGAACACCCAAAATTGGGGGTCGTATACCTTGCCTACTACATAACTCCTATATTAAGGAAATATGAGCCATAAACCCCCTAAACCCTAAACCCTAAACCCTAAACCCTAAACCCTAAACCCTAAACCCTTTTGGGGTTCAAAATTCGTCCCCAAGGCTCGGGAAGAAAGGCGCGCCCGGCGCCCAAAGCCCGCCGGAGGAGCTGCTCGGCCTCCGCCCCGCGGCCCTGGGAGTTCAACGCCGCGGCCCTGTTGCAAAACAGTCCTCGGAGGGCCAAAGATGGTCCGCTTAAATACCCCCAAGAAATGAAAAAATGAAGCCCAAGATGGGCTTTTTATACCTTTATGATTCTAATCCCTCAGAAAAGCCCTTTACAGGGTTGAATTATGATAATTATGGGGATTCTAAGGGCCCTCATAGCCCATATCCCTTAAATGCCTACCCGGAGTCTCAGACTGGTGGGATGATGATCCCCGAGAGTCCTCAGACAGAGGTCCAGGGCCTCGTTCCAACGGAGCTCGGCTTCCTGCGTGTTTCACCCAAATTAGGGGGTACCTTTTTGGGGTCCTCATATTTTCTAGGGGGATCCTACTATTTAGGGGACAAGATTAGGGATCCCTTATTGAATTAGACTTAATTAAACCCCCTCCTGCAGCTGTCCCTGAGCATGCAGCACCGCAGAGTGGCCGATCAGTGCCGTCAGCGTGTGTTGGTGATGCTCCCCAAGAAGGGCACGACATCCGTCCACAGCCTCGCGGAACAGCTTCTCCGCTTCCTCCAGGCGGTTCCGCTCTTGAAGCAGCGTCGCCAAGTTGCTCTTGGCGGCCAACATGTCTGGATATCGGCCTGGACCTTGCAGGGACTACATGAACCTTAAACGAGCTTATTATGGCACATATAGAGCTATAGACGTCAGCCCCGACTTTTGGGGGTTCAGAGATGGTCCCCAACTCCATGGCCTCCTTGCATGGAATCGTTGTTCTCCAAGGCCTCCTGGAGAAGGAGCTCGGCTTCTTCTAGGCGCCCCCTGCGCCCGGAGCTGTAGGGCCATGTTGGAAGCCGTCGCCATGGTCTTGTGGTGGCCGGGCCCCAGCTTGCTACCTTGAGGACCAACTATGAACCCTAAACTTGGGGTCATAGACCCCTGAACTACTATAACTCCTATTACAGTAAGGTATGTGAACCATAAACCCTTTTTGGGTTTAGGGTTTAGGGTTTAGGGTTAATTTAGTCCCCAAGGTGCGGCATCCCTGTAAGGCCTCCTGGAAGAGTTGATTCGCCTCCTCTAGATGCCCCTGTGCATGCAGCGCTGACGCCAGGTTGTTGATGCTGGTCAGCGTCTCGGGGTGCTGCGGACCCAGCGCCGCGCGCCGCCCCTCCAGGACCTCACGGTAAAGAGCCGCTGCATCTTGCAAGTGTCCCTGTGAGTACCTTGGGAACCAAATGAACCCTAAAATTGGGGCCATAGATACCCTATACCATAGATACATATATACTATACAATATATTGTTATAACTCCTATTAAGGTATATGAACCATAAAACCCTTTGTAGGGTTCATGGAGTTCCCAAGGTACAGCACGCCGGCAAGACCAGCAGCGCTGTGTAGCGTGTGGAAATCTTGCTCTCCTTGGGGACGAATTATGAACCCTAAAGGGTTTTATGGTTCATATACCTTAATAGGAATTATAGTAGTCAGGGTATATGACCCCCAATTTTAGGGTTCATTTCGTCCCCAAGGCTCCCAGCACGGCACGACGTCTGTTAAGGACCTCACGGCAGAGGGGCTCGGCCTCTCGCAGCCGTCCCTGCAATGCCAACATCCTCGGGGACGAAATGAACCCTAAAATTGGGGCCATACACCCTATATTGCTATAACTCCTACTAAGGTATAGGAACCCTAAACCCTTTCAGGCTTCATAATGCGTTTTCAAGGATCTCTGCTAAGTTGTCCATGTACATCAGGGTCTTGGGGTCGTCCTCACCCAGTAGGACGACGCATGAGCTCAAAGCCTCGCGCAGGAGATGCTCGGCCTCCTGAAAGTTACCTTGGGGACGAAATGAACCCTAAAATTGGGGGTCATGTTCCCTGACTACTATAATTCTATTAAGGTATATGAACCATAAACCCTTTTAGGGTTCATTTCGTCCCCAAGGTACCCTTGTCTTGCAGCACCAGAGCCAGATTGTTCATGAAATCGATCGTGTCGAACGTTTTCTGGCGGATCAGGCTCGCATCCACCTCACCCAACGACGCACCACATCGGCGCAGGCCCTCTCTGAAGAGCTCTTCCTTGGGGACGAATTATGAACCCTAAAAGGGCTTGTGTTTCATATTTCCTTAAACTTGATAGGATTCATCGTCGTCAGGGTACATGACCCCAATTTTTGGGTTCATACACCTTAATAGGATCATAGAAATGAACCCCTGAAAAGGGTTTATTTGTAGGATCAGAGTAGTCAGGGTATATGACCCCGATTTTGGTTTTCAGAGTTGGTCCACAAGGTTCCGCTTCACTCACTTGTCCCCGAGATCGGAGCCAACCTGCCAGCTCGCCCATGCAGGCGAGGGTCTCGTGTTTGTCATCCCCAGACCTTGCATGGGGACTAAATGAACCCCTAGAAAGGGTATATGATTCATATACCTTCAGAGGAATGTAGTCAGGGGTATATGACCCCAATTTTAAGGTTCATACTTGGTCCTCAAGGTGCGTCGCGCGCAGGTGGGCAAGACGCCGCTGTAGTAGCTGGAGCATGCTGTCTGCCTCGGCAGTGGCGTGGCGCACCTTGCCATCGTCGTCAGTGATGCGCACGACCCAGACGTCGCGGCTCCGGTGCACGGGCTTACCTTTGTAATCTTCGCCCAGCCGGACCTTCCGCTGTTGGCCCGTCTTCTTGTCTTGCACCCGCTTCTGCACGAGGTCGGGTGTTTGCCGAGCGAAGATGTTGAATGCCAAGGCTTTGGGGACCAGTAGAGGGATGCAGAATGACCCACGGTGGCCGGAAGGGTTCTGGTCTCCCCACTCGCCACAGACACGCTGGGCTTCTTCGTCTTCGACATCTTGAAAAGGATTCCCGTTGCTGTAGTTGTTGAGCAGAATTCGAGTGCGCAGCTTCCAGACAGAAGGTTCATGCTGCGAAGTGTACACGCCTTTGCCGAAGTGTGCGCGACTGTCCGTGAGCGATGCGAACAGCTCTGATGTCGTCTGCTCCAGATTTGCAGCATTCTGAAAGCCCAAGGCATTCGTATAATGGTACAGCACTACGATCTCTCCGACATCTCCAGGAAAGCCTTGGAGTCGGAGGTCAAAAGCATGCTGCCACACATGGACAGGGCCGTCTTCAGCATCAAACCTGAAGGTGCGCAACCCACCGACCAGGTCATTGACGTACTGCTCCCCCTGGAACAACTCTCCTCGGAGGTAGCTGCCTGCAAAGTAGGGCGACAACTCTGCACGTCCCAACGCCTTATGGTCTGACTTCTCCTCAGCCTGGCTCCGGGCAACTTGAACCAGCAGCGTCGGCAAAGTCCCTGCTGGGGCCTCCATAGGTAGCGCAGATGCGCTTCCACAGCACCCCATGACAGCGAGAGGTCACTATAAGATACTGCAAGTCTTACCTTGGGGACGAAATGAACCCTAAAATTGGGGGTCATGTACCCTATACTACTATAATTCCTATTAAGGTATATGAACCACAAACCCTTGAGGCTTCATAATTCGTCCCCAAGGTAGGCGCTCATTCCTATGGAGCAGCGTGACCAGCCTTCTTGCGCCCGAAGCGTCGGCCCGAATGCGCATGAACCCTAAACCCTAAACCTTAAACCCTAAACCCTAAACCCTAAACCCTAAACCCTAAACCCTCATGCCGCTGGAAGGCTTAAAGTGAGGGACCATGCACGTGTTTAAAGTATAGCCCTTAACCTACCAAAACTGGATCCGATTATGCCCAGGACTCTCAAGGACTAAATTAAGACTGGGTAGAAGAAGAAGAAGAAAGAAGAAGAAGAAGAAGAAAGCGGTTTCCATCCTGGCCCTTCAAGCCCTGAATACTGGTGGGGCACGAAGCTCGCTCATTCTCATATGGATCGTAGAGTCTTAGAGTCTTCCCGATGGAATGAGTCCGTTCGAAAAGTAAGAATGGAGGTTGAAGGTTAAGTCTCTACGAAATCAACTGACACCCTACACCCGAAACCCTAAACCCTAAACCCTAAACAAGTTTCCATCAGTCGGCCTGACACCGAGTCACTGTCAGCAGTGAGAGTTTGAGAGAGGACTGACTGTAGAATTAACAACAACCTTGAGGACTCAATGAAACCTAAAAGGGTTTGTGGTTCATATACCTTCATTAGAATCATAGCAGTCAGGGTATATGACCCTAATTTAGGGTTCGTAATTGGCCCCCCCCCGAAAAAATTCGGCGAATCCGGTTGAGTCGACGATCGATTGAATCCAGTGGGCAGCTCAGCAGCCCAGGGTCCCGGCCTGCCAAGAAGTGGCGCTATGGCAGCCCCCCTGCGCTCCTGGGATCGGGTCGACCAGGATGGGCGATTCTCGGCCTTAGAATCCCCATCATCAACCCCACCAAGGGCCTTTATACAGGGGGTATCGGGTAGAACAGCCCAATCCTGGTACTTTAGGCATAAGCCCCGCCACGCAAAGCCACCCGAACATCGGTCTTCGAGGACACTAGGTCACCATTCCCTGCACTAGGAGAGCTTGGCAAACTCTCTGAGGATCAAATGAATCCTAAAATTGGGGTCATATACCCAATGTACTACTATAATTCGTACGAAGGTACATGAACCATGAACCCTTGAAGGGTTCATTTAGTCCCCAAGGTCTTGGGCCTCGAAGGATCTTGGTACCCCCCCCCCCCCCCCCCCCCCCCCCGCCCAAATTAGGGGAAACTGCGAAAACCTGGAGCTCGCGTGCGATCTGGTCTTGACAGTCCACTTGAAACCCTAAACCCTAAACCTATAAACGCCCTAAACCCTAAACAAGTCAGAGTTCTACTGCCCCAACATCTTGAAGCCCGAGCACCCTCACAGCCGGGCTCCTGCAAAGTCTTCCAGCCTCCACTTCAACGGCTCCACTTCAAGGGCATCGTGGGCCAGCAAGCCTTTTTGGCGGAGGACTGCTGGAGGCTCGAAGGCAATTGTGGAGAGAAAGCCCAGAATTGCCGGCGTCTCAAGACGGGCTAGCGATGCAGAGAATACTGATGTTAAGTCATTAAGTGGACCCAATGCCACAGATGTTGTATGTGTTAAGTGCAAGCTTGCTACTCTCCCAAAAAAGAAACACAGCAGAGTTGGAGGGGACGAGCCGGAGGTCGATCGAGGCCAGGCAGCCACGGGCCAGCAAGCTGTCGGGGCCACATGGGCCACCCACCGCGGCAGTTCCAATGTCCTGTGCAACAAGGGGTCTAGGGTTTAGGGTTTAGGGCTTAGGGTTTGGGGTTTAGGGTTTAAGGTCAAGAACAGGCCAGCATGAGTCACCCAAGCCATGTGAAAGAGTAGAGACACTCTAGACGACAGACAGCAATGAACTACGTTTGTTCTTATCTTGAAAAGTCCAAGTGTGTCGACACAGGCCTGCGCCATGGAATATTGGGCGTCTGAGGTTAAGCAGCTTGGTCCTGGTAAACCCCGAAATTAAAAACTCGCGCCCTGGGCTGAAAAACAACCACGTTGCATGTTGGTTTGATTGCCACTGGTGGGTGGTGGGCCTGGAGATAAGAAAGGTTGTTGCCCTCTTCTTATCAGCCCACTTCAGTACTTTATCTTCAGGAGGTCGCAACATCCACCAGGCATACTTTCTCCGAGCGAACACTTCTCGTCTAATCCAGGTGAGCTCAGAGGCTTGAGGCCATTGGCTCTTTCGCAGTTCGTTTCTTCACCTTGGGGACCAAATGAACCCTAAAACTTGGGTCCTACCCTGACTACTATGATTCCTATTAAGGACCATAAGCCCTTTTCGGGTTCATTTCGTACCCAAGGCACGGAGTTCCCACTCCAGCTCTCTTCAGCAAAGCCCTCACCCGAGGCTCCTGTCGCTTCCCGGGGCGGCCGTGCGGTGCTCCCTCGCCCCACTGCAACGTCGGGGTCGACCTCCAGCGTAGCAGAAAAAGCCCCGACGCTTCACACCAACGAAGCGCACACCACTGCTCGAAAAATAGACCTTAGCGGTTCGAATAGGATGGAGCTTCGGGCTTAGGGTTTCAATGGGAAGCTGCACAGGTTTCTTTGCCCCCTAAACGCGATCCATGCCACTCTGTGCATCTCCACCATTCTTCGGCAGACATCGGCATGCGGGCAAGCCTGGAAAGAAGAGCCCGGAGACTGGTGGTTGGCAGAACACATGCAAGGTGGCCAGCAAGACCCCCACCCCACCTCTGAGTAGGGTTTAGGGTTCTAAGGGTGTAAGGTTTGCATGGAGCATAGATGAGCAGGAAACGAGTCCGGTGTTCAGGGAGGCAGGAAGGTAGCAACATCTGATGAGTGACAAGTCAGAGTTCCCCCCCATACCCTAAACCCTAAGGCCTAAACCCTAAACCTAAGACCCTGACCCCCCCCCCCCCCCCCGGCCTGCATGGGCGAAATCCCGCAGCAGGGCTCGTACCTTGCAGAGCATGCCCTCCAAGATCACGTGCTTCCGCATGCCTCGCAGCGGCGTTTAGGGCTTAGGGTGTAGGTTTTAGGGTTAGGTTTTAGGGTTTAGGGTTGAGGGTTTAGGGTTTAGGGTTTAGGGTAAACTCGAGAGGAGCTCAGGGAGCCGGAGCTACTTCGGGAGGCCTCGGGCGGAGGCTTCCGCCAAGGCATCAGACCTCCAGCGCAGTGGGGAACCTCCAGGCGGAAGACTGGGTTGGTTATGCTATATGAAATATAGGGATACATTTTTCAAATGTATATAATGAAAGACATATACATAAATAAATAAATATAAACAAATATATATATATATATATTATGAACTTTAGGGATACATTTTTCATATGTAAAAATGTTTGTATATATTTTTTTTATCTATTCATACTATGAGCAATAAGAAGAATGAGAAAGAAGAAGAATGCTCAGAGCAATAACCGTAATTAACACATACCTGAAGCTCTGAGTGCACAGTTGAAGTCCCAAGCTGACATTCCCTAAACCCTAAACCCTAAACCCTAAACCCTAAACCCTAAACCCTAAACCCTAAACCCTAAACCCTAAACCCTAAACCCTAAACCCTAAACCCTAACATGGAAGGCCTCCACCATCTTGCTGAAGTACTGGGTCCCTGCAGCCCCCCCCCCCCCTTTTCTAAGCTCCACTAGGCCTTCCCGGGCTAGCCGCCCCGCTTTTGGCAGCCTGGGAGCGCCAGGCCTTGATCTGAGGTTTAGGGTTTAGGGTCTAGGGTATAGGGTTTAGGGTTTAGGGTTTAGGGTTTAGGGTTTAGGGTTTAGGGTTTAGGGTTTAGGGTTTAGGGTTTAGGGTTTAGGGTGACTACTGGACATACGAGTATAAGGGTTCCAACAGGACTTCAAGAAGCAGGGCCCCTTACTGGGAACAGGAGCGGCATAGTTTCTGCTATGCCCCCCCAAAACGCCTAGCCGAAAGAGATCGCAAGAGATCGCGCCACGCAGCCAAGGAACAGCCCGTCTCAAGAGTCTGATCGTTTCGGAGAGGGCCCTTCGTCACCTTGTGCCGGGCAGCCTTAGTGGAGCCAAGCTGCAACCTCGTGTGGTTTAGGAGTTTAGGAGAATGAGGGACCCCCAACAAATCGACCCCCAAGTAGTAGGATTCCCCTTTTGGGGGTTTAGGATTGAGCGATCAGCCGAGGAACTGAGAGCACCGCGATTCGACTGCAGGTCTTCGTCAGAAAACGAATCACCAGTTGCCTGGCGAGCTGAGCATGTGCCCTGAAACGTGCCGAGCGATCAGTCCCGACTTGGTTGGTGGTTCATGGGTACCTACATATAGGGTTATAAGTAGGGTAACTATGGTTGTAACCGTATGTAGGGTACTCATAACCTCATGCACTGATATAGTACCCACGACGAACCTTCAAGTAGAAGCTCACGTGGGCCTTTGTGGTCTCCAAGTCCTCCCCAACCAAGCCCCTGAAACCCAACTAAACTCCTAAACCCTAAACCCTAAACCCTAAACGCCCTAAACCCTAAACGCCCTAAACCCTAAACGCCCTAATTAACCCTAAACCCTAAACCCTAATCCCAGGGTTTTCTGGGAGCCTGTGGGTTCACATCGATAAACCTCGCCCACAACCTCCTCGAAGCGGGCCAGAACCTGATGCGCAGTCGGACTTCTCGGAACCAGCTCCAGTTAGGGTTTAGGGTTTAGGGTTTAGGGTTTAGGGTTTAGGGTTTAGGGTTTAGGGTTTAGGGTTTAGGGTTTAGGGTTTAGGGTTTAGCTTTAGGGAGTAGGCAGATGGCATCATCTAGGTTGGCCCCACAAGACCCTTCATACAGCCGACTGACAAAAGATGGAGTGAGAGTGCTGGACGCCAGCACTGCCCCGCAAGACATGGAACCACGAAACCATGCCGCTTACACCCTCCCCGTTGGCGAACCCTGAAGTTGCCCT